ATTTTCTACATTTCAGTTTGGGATTTGGGATTCCTTTGCACTGATTCAGGACTTGGGTTGGAGGGCAACGCGCCGGCTTTGAGATGTTTTTTTTTCTGTCAGTGTTAAGTCGCCTGAACGCTTGACTTGAAGCCTTATCAACATTAAGGTGTAATATCCTTGCGTTAAAAAACGCTGGGTTTAAAGGTGAGCTGGAAATGCCTCTCCGGCCGAGTGCTGGGAGAAGCCCCGTGCTTTTTTGCGTCCGTTTTCGCATGTAGCTCGGGGTCCCGGAGACTCTTCTGCGTTTGCAGAAGCCTCTCGAGCTGCTGCTTTTTTGACAAAGCAGATCTTGGGCTGCCAGAAATGGCTGTTTGCTGCTGGAAGTGGAGGTGCCTCTGCCTGATCCGCGCGTGGGATCAGTCTGTGGAGGAACGGGTGGCCAAACTGACAATCCCCAAGCAGATTTAAATGAAAAGTCCTAAAAGTGTCTTTTACCTTTTTTTTTTTTTTTTGAATTTATTTATTAGAAAGTGTTTCGGGTGATGAAAAGCTTGGTCACCAGACACGCTCGCTGCATAATGTGGTTTCACCAGAAGAAACACGCCGTTTAGTCTCGGAAACACATTGCCTGTGGCTAAAGTGTACGTAGCTCGGTTCTGCCAAAAAAAAAGAGATTATTTATTATTTAAAGTGTTTAAATGGAGGATATTGATGCCTCTCTCCCCATGCTGTGTCACTTCTCCCCTCCGTTTCTCTTAGCTCATGTAAAAAATTTGTTTTATACACCTGAAACCAGACTACTGATTGGTGTGGAAATGAAACTGTTTACCGTCCTGTTGTAAATATTGTGCTTTATATTCTGTATATTAGCTTCTTTTAAAGAAAATGTAAGCAATGATGTTGCTCGGTCTCCGATAAGGAAAGGGCTCCGAGGATGAACCAGGGCCCACGTTCCACTGAGCTCCGGGTTAAATCCGCCTCCTCCGTTGCAGAGTCCTTCCTGCCACGACCCCGCTCGTCTCGGAGCTGGGGGCGTCGGGATCGGCGCTGGATGCAGCTCCCTTTTCCTCGTAGTGCCAAAACTCCCACCCCGTCCCTCGTTCGGCTGCTCGGGAGAGGCGCCGGGCGCTGGTTCATCCTCGGGGCCGAGGCCGGGCTGCCGCAGCCGCCCGAGGGGAAGGGGCCGCGGGGACGCTCTGGTGGTAAGGAAAAAGGAAAAAGAATCACAATAAATGCCAAACTCCCGCTTCTTGTGTGCGTGCGTTGACTGGGGCCGCTGGCCGCCCTCCCCTGCGGCCGGGAAGGGCTGCGGGAGCGGGACCATCCCGGGGGGAGGCCCGGGGAGCCTCGGGGTGCCCGTGCGCTCTGAAAACGAGCGACCTTCCTATTTAACAGCGCTGCTGAGGCAGCAAGCGCCGTCCGGGGTTAGCATTGCTGCGCTGTACACCTATACCCTGAGTGCCACCTGCTCGCTTTATTTCTCATTTATTTTTAATCATTATGGCAAAAGACCGCGGTCCCCTGCACCTCGCTTTTCCCGCACAGGGGGCCCCCGGCCCCAGCCCGCC